CAAATATCAGATAAAAGACTTCGATTTTCCTTTACTGCAAGTACCATGTTTTGTGACACTGTTTTTGTTCAGTAAAATTCTTAATAAAATTTCAAAGTGATATTCATAAAAAATTGACGAAATATTAATTCATTACTAAAATGATTTTTGATAAAAAAGACTTTGATTTTCCTCCACTTTGAGTACCATGTTGCATGACATTAACATTGATTTTGTTTACTAAAATTCTTAGTAAAATTTCAAAATAATATTCATAAAAAATTGACGAAATATTAATTCATTTATAAAATGATTTCAAATAAAAAAAGACTTTGATTTCCCTCCACTTTGAGTACCATGTTCCATGACATTAACAATGATTTTGTTTACTAAAATTCTTACTAAAATTTCAAAATAATATTCGTAAAAAATTGAAGAAATATTATTTAATTACTAAAATGATTTCAAATAAAAAAAGACTTTGATTTCCCTCCACTTTGAGTACCATGTTCCATGATAATAACATTGATTTTGTTCACTAAAATTCTTACTAAAATTTCAAAATAATATTCGTAAAATAATTTGACACAAAATTGTTTCATTACTGTAATGATTTCTGATGCCACACGATAAAAAGGACTTCGAATTCCCTCCACTTCAAGTATCATTTTCCATGACAATAACATTGATTTTGTTTAATAAAATTCTTATTAAAATTTCAAAATAATATTTGTAAAATAATTTGACAAAAAACTGTTTCATTAAAATAATGATTTCTGACGCCACACGATAAAAAGGACTTCGAATTCCCTCCACTTCAAGTATCATGTTCCGTGACAATAACAGTGATTTTGTTTACTAAAATTCTTATTAAAATTTCAAAATAATATTCATAAAATAATTTGATAAAAAATTGTTTTATTACGATAATGATTTCTAATGCCACACTTCAAGTACCATGTTCCACGACATTAACATTGACATGAATTAATATTTTGTTCATTAAAATTCTTACCAAAACCTCAAAATAATTTGACAAAAAATTGTTTCATTACTATAATGATTTCTAATGCCACACTTCAAGTACCATGTTCCACGACATTAACATTGACATGAATTAAAATTTTGTTCATTAAAATTCCTACCAAAACCTCAGAATAATATTTGTAAATTGTCGCAGACAAAATAGTTGGACAGAAACCGCAGTCCCGCCAAGAAAGGCAATATAAGCAAGGTGCAATACAGTCGATGACGCAGCGTAGGTCGAATCTGATGCGGAAAATCGTGACGAAACATCCTCGTCGGCGTGTCATCGACGTAACAGAAAATTGCTGAATGTCGTGGAATAACGGTTTCGTAACGAAAGCCGTTCTGATGCATTTGCCGATAGAACGTTCGGACAGGTAGCCCCTGTAACCTGCATAAATATGAATATGTGCCGAGATGCCTGTATATCGTCCGTTCTATTTTCTGAATAGGATTCCAAGTAGATGTCGAGAACTTGTCACTGGGTGATTTATACGTTTGTCCGCGCCGGAGGACTAGGTCGTTCTCCATCCCCCCTGCTTCTTCCTCTCTTAAGCCTGTCAGCTCGAGCCATTCCGATATGAAAGGGGGGCCTTTTTTTCAACCAAGTACACAGAAGAATAAGACCAAAAAAAATATTGTATATTCTACAGAGGCTAGATACTCCAGAATGAAAGCCTAGAGCCAAGGTTATCGCCAAGTGGAAACGTTCGATCGTTTTCGAGGCAATTATGCGGGACATCAAAAGAATACTCTGACAAACGTATGACTGCTAGACAGCCCATTAGTATTTTCACTATGCCTGTAACGGAACTTTATATACGACAATATTTCCGTATTTAGTACTTGATATTCTATAGCACTGTATTTAATATTTAACCCTTTGCACTCGAAGACAATTTTACTGTTTGTAAACAGCAACTTTAAAATATTAATTAAAATGTTAAATGACTTCTTTTGAAGTTATTTCTCTACTAAAAATTTCCACTATTGTCTATTTCACTATGTTTATACATCACATAAGCACTGTTATAGAATTAATTAAATAATGCTTCTTTTAAATTATTGTATTAAATCGAATGGCGCCTCTCGAGCGCAAAGGGTTAATATTTGTAAATTTTTTCTGGTCCCAGTATTCGAAATGTTCTGTCTGATACTTCAGTCTTGGTAAACCTATTATTCTGAATATTAACTAGAATTTTAAATTCGAATACATGAAGCTGTTAACAGACAGGGGATGTAAACCCCCATACTTTTAATACAAATATTTTTGCACATAAAGTATAGTATACTGTAAAATATTTTTTAAAATGTAACAATGTACATTTGAGATTAACGAAGGAGCAAGATAACGAAGGAAAGAAGAGATACGTTAAAAATACGAACGAGTGGTCGCAAATGAGCTCTCGACAATGACGCAAGCATGAAAAGTGACACGTCTATTTCTTCTCGAGGCATGCTCTAAAAAAAGAAAGGAAAGAAAAGAAGCGAAGGATAATACACTTGAAATTTTGTTGTCTAGTGAGCAGAGGAACGCCACTTAGGAAATGTACGCACTAACGAGATTGAAAATCGTAAACGTCCACGGTTTGCCAAGTCGCCTAGTCGGAATGGAAATAAACGTCGGATTATAAATATTTTATATTGCAATTTTAATGGGGCTCGCTGCGAGGCCTAGTGATAATTTACGATCGCTGTTCGCTATAATTAACTCGTTAACACTTTAGAACAATGCCTAATAGCATTGAATGTGTACTAAAAATAGAGTAGAATAAATAATATGTAAAGATTAGAAAATACATTATGTAAACTTTAGGGAAGTACGGGATTTTATGAAGCAAATTCAACTCTGTACTTGTTAAAACATTTTCATCTTTTTGATCGGCACTCGAGTTCGTAAACAGAGTTTTTTCCGATATTAAGCTTCAAATTGACACGACACAAGTGGCATTTCGCGACATGTAATATTCTCGAATCTTATCAGATTTTTGACTCTTCGAAAACCAGCACTCGAAGTGCAACAACCTGGTAAATTAAAAATACTGCGTTCTCCAACGGAGAGGTAATCATCCCCTACAGTTGTTTTCGTCGGGCTTTGAACTTTTCAACATGTGACTTTCATGTATCAATGTGTGACACTTTTATGATCTCGAAACGTTCGAAATGGAAGTTTTGACAATTGAAAATCCACCACCGAAGCAATGATAAGGTTTATAATAAGTATTCTTCATAAATTTCAACTGTTTCCAACGACTCATCTGCATCGAGCAGGGTGAACAATATAGCAGTGATCTCATGAATATACCGAGCAAAATCGTACAAGAAACTATTCTGTCCAGCGTATTGTCGGTGCTTTAGGAGCTCCACCCCTCGATTGAGAAATCAGGCTTCGTTCGAGCGCAACGCGACTTCAAAAGCGAAGGAAAGGAAGGAAGGAAGTCCGTCCGAGAACCCGTACAAGAGGGTTGTACTCTCTGTGTTCTCGGTGGTTGGACCGCTCGTTAGTATCAGCTGCTCTGTGGCTGCTTAAAAATAAACCTCTTCCTAGTCACCGGTACAATCGCTAAATTAACGCCGGCAGCGACGCCCTTCGCGTGTAAAATCATCTTCTACGGGGCTCTTTAAATACTCGACCATCTCGTTCTGGAACTATTATGGATTCCTCGAGTTCCAGGACCTCAGCGTTGCCAAAGAGAAGGACAAAACGATCGCGAAACTGTGACACGCCTCGTAACCTTGGAGCCAGGCTTCACGCGTGTAAATCAAGATGATATCACAACCATAAGAAAGTATTCGCGTAACTTTCCGGTGGTCCGAGACAAATTATGTTTCATGGCTCGGCTCTTGAGAGTTGAACGACACGTTACGAAACATTCGTAAAGAACTGTTCACGAAATTTAAAACAGCGAACTAAATTTCAGTAATTCTACTTCTGTGATATTTTACATCATGCTACAGTATATCGTTGTAACAAAATAATTTGAATTATTGAAACAAGAATCACCAAAGTTAATATTTAACTATAGTAATTGAAGCTTACGGTGCAAGTTTAGACAGCATGGCCCCGATTACTTTCACAGTTTACGAGTACACCCATGATTTATTAGTGACAGTGCGAGCCGAGCCAAAACCAAGACATTCTTTCGATAATATTCTAAAATCATTACAAGACCGATCCAAGAACAACAATGCCGAAGCTCATGCTCTAGTAACTTCTCGTTTCGTAGAATAATCCTACGGTCGACGTACAATATAAACTTATTATAGACTTCGCATCTTTTATGTATGATAAAGAATCGTTCTTTTAAAACGAGTACAATTATCTACAATTATTGCTGATATTCAGTAATTTGAACGTTCCGTTGTTCTTTCTATTCGTGTTACCGAATGAATAATCCGTCCTAAATTCGCGGATCTAACCTCTTTAGAAGCCCGCGGGATTCATAAGGACATAGAGAAGTTTTAATGTATGCATTTGAGAATTACCTCCAATTCACTAATTTGCATGGGAAATCAATTTTCGCTGGGTATAGGTATCACAAACGTTCTCTTCCATTTAGGTTTCTAACTGATCTCCAAATGATTTCTATTCTCTGACCTACAGCTTGATGATCTATGATCTAGTGTATGATTTATGAGCCATTGTGTGATCTATGACCTCTTCCAATTGAATATTGCTTGAATGGTGGCTCCTAACTAGTCTGACAATGTATGCGCTCAACAATCATCAAAATGTGATAAACCACCGTCATCTATTATCTCCATCAATATTGCATGTACAAATTTTACACAAAGAATGTGCACATTTCTTTAAACATAGCTTCAAGTTCTTCACAATCTTCATCTTCCCTTTTACGCGACTTAACTATGCTTCACAATCCTACAAACATCCTTTCTCGATACAGTCTCGAGAGATTTGACCACGTCGGTCAAACACCTCCATAATGTGGAGGTCGTATTTCGAGTCAAAGGGTTAAGATAATGTTGAGACTTACCTGTACATCAAAGTGAGTGGTGGTGTCTTGTGGCTGAGGGGGTCCCTGTTGTTGTTGCTGTTGCTGAGATGGCGGTGGACCCTGTGGGGGTGGAGGAGCCTGTGCTCCAAAGAGTTGGGCGGCATGCGAATGTGGATGCTGTAGATGATGCGTAGGTGGTGCCTGATGATGTTGTAGATGATGAGGCGGTGCTGGTGCGAACGCAGCCATGAAATGTTCCTCGCTGCCGACAACGTCGACGCCGGGTTTTAGCAGCACGACTCCTCCACCTCCAGCGCTTACAGCCAGAGTAGCTGCCGCGTTCTTTTGAAATTCTTCTTCGCCTGGTGAGGGTTGACGACTCCCTGGCGTACGACTGCAACAACAAATAAAAGGTTAATAAAATAGAATTTGGAACAAGGGACCTTAACCTAGAACTACATCTCATAATAATCTAATATCATAACATTATAATAATCTTATAATTTACATCAACTATATTATTTGTTGATAAACGAAAATAATCTTGTAACTATTTGATGACACAAAAGTACAGCAAAATAGCTGAACATTTATCTACAGTCCAACAATTATAAAACGAGTAATTCAATAAGTCATAGAAAGTAATAACGTTGCAAGTAATCGCAATGTCATTATGATCTAACAGAATTTATGCAACTATCCGCTGACGATCGAACACACTTTTCATACTTCAGTTTCAGCAGACTCACTTCAACCGAAAGTAGCTCGCGAGACAATAATCGCGAAGGAAAGTATAAACAACTTCAACAGTTGCAGTTTTGTAAACAGAAAGTGTATAAATCATTCATAACTGAACAATGACGTTACGAGCACTCAGAAAAATTTATGAGAGATTGATATTTATGACACAATAAAGCTACCCAAGTGTGTTCGTTTTAACGAGTGTGTGATAGAGTCAACACTGTCTCGTAAAACATAATAATTAACTCGTTGATTCTACTTGTGTGATACAATTATTGAAACGCATAAATGTATAGTTGGACGTAACTGTCATACTGTAAATGCATGTGACTATAATATGCAAGTATTATGTACAATTCCATAATGCTTTCAGGTAGCCTAAAAAATAACAGTGTTTGCATAAGCATCTACGTGTTATTAGCATTATAAATGTTAAGTTCAGTTTTTTCAGGAAGGTACTTGTTCCTCGTAACAGCAATCGGACAATGACATTTCTTTTGTATACAAAGAAAGTGACCTAGCATTCCTTAACCATTCCAACGTGACAATCGTAAATGTCATGGACCTCTACGCAATATGGTTATATGAAAAATTCTTAGTTAAATCCTATTCGAATAATTGAACTACATATATTTATACAAAGACATACTTTGCCAGGATAATCTGATACGTGGAAGCACGTAACGACACGTAGAGATGTAACAAGTGGTGATATAACGCAGATATGTAATTCGTGGCAATTTCAAGATGTGACAATAAAAATTGTGATAACAGAACCTGGGATATTACGTCGCTCCACATTAATAATAATAAAAGTATTAATACTATGTTAACCATATATTTTATTCTAGTTTATTTTGTCAAGAATATGCATGCATTTCCGTATGCTATTAATGCATAATCTCCGCAATCTACTGATAACAGTTATTTCTTTTAATTAGTATGAAAACTATACGCGTAATCATAACATGCTTACCGCATTATCGCTATCTACATCACATATCTGCTATAATTATCTAATACTTAAAATAATCGTCTAGCTACAGACAGCTTGAATAATTTGATTTAACAAGCCTGCAAGACCTGTTGTGCAACATTCCGAGGGTACTGATTAAAAAATGCTGTATAACGGTATATTTTACATAAGCATGGTACAATACAATGCAACGTTCGGGTTAACAGACTTATGCTTTCTTGTTACAAAAAATGAAGTGATGTCTTCAACAAGGATAAACAAATATCGTTACCATAATTCTTAAGCAGAAAGAACAAACAATTTCTATTCAGGTTTATAAACCCAAACGTGGATAATACGTTTGATTTCCATAATAAGCTTAAAAAACTAAACATTTTTTACAAGTGTACTGTTGAATGCAAAATGAGTATCAATGTCACAAGTCAAGTTTCAGATTAGTAGAGCAAACTTTTGTTACATTTCCACAGTGGATCAAAGAATGTTTGGCAATGTGTTTAGAATAATATACTGTGTATTTGCCAATCAGTATACTTTAATATAATTGTAAACATATCTAAGTCTAACACAAAAAATTAGTTTAAGTCATATTGGCAGAATTCTCATTTCCCTTGAGTTTTTTTTGTAAATAAATACAACAGCGAATAAAATTAATCAATGATTTTACAAATAAGGATAAAAGAATCAACTGAAAAATTAATAGAACGTTTACCGTTATTCGAAAGGAGGGAAAGAACTGTACCGACCACATCGGTAAAGTAGTACCCGAGATAAGAAGAAAGCACCAGAAAAACACTAGATGGCGCACGATTACGGTACGACAAGCGTTAAAATGGTTAAGCTTATGATGTCATCGTCCGCGGATTGAACAAGCACGCCCTTGACAGTTAGTACTATTGCGTTCCTCGGTCGCCTTGTTTCACAGCAATGACAATTGTTCGTGAACAACGTGTGACACAGTTACCGTCGACCAATCGAAAGCAATTATACATGGTTACGCAAAAACAACGATACACTTATTCCTTTCTACAATCACGTTTCACAAAAAGGATCTCCTAACGTTGTTTACATCATTGTAACGCACGAGCAACCATGATTCACATACTCGTAGTTCAAAGATACTTTTTCCTACATTTTGTTTACTTTTGTCCACATCGATGCTTATATAAACATGTTATGATACTTAAACATATATTTTATACATTTTGTGTATCTTGATTGAGTCACATAGTTTACAAGCTTCGATTTTGTTTTGTAGACCTTTCTTAACAATCACCACTTAATTATCTATATGTAAATACTTACTTAAATCCTTTGTCATCGTCGAGACCATTTTGAGACGCTAATCCGTTGTTTTGTGGGCCTGTATCGTCTTTAGAACCGTCAAAAGGGCTTGCCGAACCCTTCTCTTTCTCTTTCTTGTCTGCATCGGTGTTCTGTTATAAATGCATAGAAGAAGAATATGTAGTAAACCGTTCGTCTAGAATAATTACAGTGTTTCAATGTTCGTATTTACCAATCTCAAAGAAGCCATCCTGGACTCCAAATCCTTGGGTGTCGTAGGACTTGATCCAAGAACATACTCGACCATTTTAACCCCCAGACCACCAGTTTCGCTGCAAAATAAATAACGGTACAAATAACTATCTATATTCCGTGTCACGATGATTCATACTGTTTTGTTGTTGAAATACTAACCTGCTCCTAGGGCTAAGGACTGTTCCAACTTCTGATGTTTGATGGTGGTAACCAGTCCCAACACCCACACGTCTACCTGTGCCCATGGAAATTGGTTGTGAAACGGCATGATCTGAAACGATTAAAAAATTTAATTAGTTACATCATCGCATCAACTTTGCTCCGAGAAATCTCATTAACTCTTTGCACGCAACAAACGCTAATTAGATTAAATTTGTATAACAAAGTACGTTCAATTATTTTCTACCGTGATACAAATTGCAACGTTCAATCTCTTGGTATCAAGTGCTGGATCACCTTCAATTTTGTAAATTACTGACAAATGTATAGTGGTGTAGGGCATTATTAATTGAAAATTAATTGTGGAAGAGATGAATATCGAATTTTAATTTCCATCCCTCGATAAATTTGATGAAATATTTCAGAAAACCAGTCAAATTCAAAATCTAGTGAATAATAGAAAAGAACGTAGAGAGTATTCAAATATAATCAGCATGAAATGCAAACGTCTATCGCGCAGATTCTCAATTTACCAGTCCACCCTTTCCAGCTAAAACGAAAGCCCGGCAGTCATAGAAAACGCAACTAATATATCTCGAAACCGTATCGCGTTCGCGTCGCATAAATCGATAAAAGACACGGGGAGCGAAGAAACCCGCAAAGGTGTAAATGCAAATTCTATCATGAAAAATTCTCAACAGGGTGTCCTCCCCGATAATTCGATTCTCCATGAATTTTCATTTCGCTCGAAATATCTCGAACGAATGGATTTTCTATCGTGCAATACGCCCGTTCGGCGAGTATTCCGAGGATCGTCTGAATTTTACCATTTCATATGACGCAATTTGATCGGCTCCAGGTGGACAGGACAGCAAGGCGAAGCAAAGAGAGAGACAGAGAAAGAGGGAGAGGCGAGTCGTTCAGGGTGGATCAGTAGGTACGACCCTGGGCATTGGGACGTTGCCCCCACCGCCGCCTGATGCCGGGCGTCTGTCGCCATGGCAACAGCCGCGTTGCACCCATCGAGGTGACGCACACATGCAAACTCTACCCGCGTGTGTATAAAAGCCGGTACACGCCGTCGCGGGAATCAGGTGTTTCGTGCATACAACTGCACGACACACTGCCGCGCTATGGTTAGGTAGCATCGCCCTCGCGCGACAACCCCGTACCGCAACAATTAACCCTTTACCATTAGAAAACCATACCTCTCTAAATCGATACCTCTTGCAAATTTATTAAACAACTCATAAATGACTGTGCACAAAGATTCAATTATGAATTTACAGTTTCTGTGCAATAATCGGAGTAAGAGTATAGGAGTACAAAATACTTCTACATAAAAACATGTACATAATCTTGAGATTTTTTGATATTCATATTTTCAAACTTCTACATGTCCATATTTCTCTCTTTTCAAGTTCAAAGTTCTCTAAATGTTCAAATTGTAAACAAACAAAATTACATTGCAATGCAACATCAAATTTTGCAATTTTATAAAATTTTATACATTTTGTAATTTTATAAAATTTTATATATTTTGCAATTTCATAAAATTTTATACATTTTGCAATTTCATAAAATTTGATAAATTTTGCAATTTTATAAAATTTTATACATTTTGCAATTTTATAAAAATTTATACATTTTGCAATTTCATAAAATTTTATACATTTTGCAATTTCATAAACTTTGATAAATTTTGCAATTTCATAAAATTTTATACATTTTGCAATTTCATAAAATTGTATACATTTTGCAATTTCATAAAATTTTATACATTTTGCAATTTCATAAAATTTTATACATTTTGTAATTTCATAAAATTGTATAAATTTTGCAATTTTATAAAATTTCATACATTTTGCAATTTCATAAAATTGTATACATTTTGCAATTTCATAAAATTGCAAAGTTTGTAAAATTTCTTAAAATTTTGAGGTTATTAAATCTGTATCGCGAGACTTTGAATGCCCATAAAATAGGAGTGGCAGGGTCCAAATAGAAGCAGGCACCGCTTCTCGTATAATCAAGCAAACCATCTACCTTCGCAGGGTTAATGAGAAAGAACCTCGCGACCATTTCAGTCCTACCCCTTCCATCGATTACGACGCTTAATCCGCTTAATCGACGCGAAATTTCGACCATTTCCAGCGAGTACACGATTTTAAGCGGAAAAATTTCAAATATCTAGCGAAGAATTTTCCTCTTATTAATTGCTTCGCGCTGCACCCTTAAGTACTCTCGAGAGCAATTTGCATAGGGCCAAGTGTAACTTTCGATTCCCGAGAATTTAAAGAGTGTCTAGGGACTTGAGAACTAAATTCTAAGTCTACGATAAAATGTCTATTTATATCCTTAGTAATTTGTTTTTACGGTATACGATTGCTTATAGATTATTCAATTCGAAATGAACGAGACCGAGGCTGAAAATAGTAGAAGACGCAGTATCGATTGATCCGTAAAGCAAAGGGGAAACTTTACGGATTTCCTAAAAGCAAACACCGCGAAAGAGAGAAAGAGATATCTGTTTTGGTACAGTATCGATTATTGACATTCAGCTTGAAGCTGCGGAGACACAAGTATTTCTACTTTGCTATCTGCGTACAGGGTGTTCCGGCAAACTTTGCATGGTCCGAATAATATTCCGAACTCCTCTTTGTTTTCGCGATATGGAAGTCTATTTATAGAAACCACAATCGTACTTGAAATTATTCCATTTACTATTCTGCATAAAACGAAATATCAATAAAATATAGAAGTCATCCCCGTATTTACTCGTTCGATAATACTATGTAATATCTCGGCTATTCAGAAATAAATATTCAGTTAATTCAGTTGATGTAATTTTGGTCCACGTCCCGAACTGTTTATTTAGCATTTTTTATTTCGAAGAGATTCGTCCATTTTGTCGCAGAACACCCTGTATATATATTGTTCTTTCGGCGCTGTACCCAATCAATAAACGCGCACGACGTAAAACACACGATGTATCACTCTCGCATTTCGTAGCCTCCACCATGAACGGCGTTCAAAGAAGTCCCGGTTATAAGCTCTTTTTCATATGATTCACTCTTCTCTCTAATTTTATCGGGGTAAAATACGTTATCAAGCATTCAGGGAATTCTACGTCAGCTCAAAGGATCCGACTGCGCATTTCGCTGCAACGGAAGAAAAAGGACGCGACATACTAATCGAAATCAGCTCATTAACACGTCTGACGCACTGCGAATGGTCCTGTGTAACAACGCATATTAAACGTATCGCATATTAAAAGCTTCTCCATTAATTTCGAAATTTAAACTTTCAATTTGGTGCTTTATTTTGGTTAATCGAAGTCCATGGGGTTAAAACTACCGCAAAGCTGTTCGATAATTTTTGTAGCAATTAAGCAAGATCAGTGTCTTTATCTGTACGAAGTGTACACAACGTAGAAGTTGCAAGTTTCGCATAAAAAGAAGCTCTTTACAAATTGTAGCGACTGGTGTTTATCGTAAAATCAAATGTATTCGTGGCCGGAGAGCTCACGCAAACGTTTCTTTCCCGGCTTTCTTTGGAGAAGAAATTAACGCCGTTCGATGCAGCTGGCTTACCCTGCAGATTATATAACGATCAGACACGAGTGGGCGACGACTAAACGCATATCGATCAGTCTACCCTTAAATTCGTATCTCGAGAAGAAAACGGTGTAGACCGTCAGGTATTTCGAGGGGTTTAAAGGGTTTCTCGAAGGGTCGGTGGTATTAGAGCTTCTTTATGCACGGTCGAGTCGGGCAACCATTCAGATTCTAGCTGGACAAAAGCCGATAGGTCGTTGTTAATGGACAACAATTAATGAACAGGATAAAGGGTTCTAACTTTTCTAACCCTAAAGGTGACGCTAACAATCGAAAGAAGAGATTCCGACCGCGGAAGCTTACCATCGATGAATTATCGATCGCGATTAACCCCATTTATGGATAAACCCCGACGAGAAGCTCTATTCCAAATATCCCGAGCCCTATTGTCCCTGATGCGTGTCAGTACGCTCGATAGCACGCCGTTGTTGTGTGTACTTCGCTACGGTTAATCAATGAGCCAAGTGTTCTCGCTAACGTGTCATTCAAAACGATAACTGTAACAATGCATAGGTTTGCATGTCCTGAACGTTCCTAGAAGATAACCCTGACAAGAATATACTTCCTTTCTATTTTCGCTTAAGGGTAATAACGTATACAAGAGTTTTCATATACACCTGGAAGAGGCCCGTTAGACTAATACCTACCTAGATTACAAAGGATCTAATATAAACGTAGAATCGTACCTGAGGTGCTCCAGGTAGAATCTCGCCACATCTGGTGGTCGCCCAGGTGAAGTATCCCACCACCTTTTACACCCCCTTCGTCCTTGGAGCCACCCTCGTCCACGCCCCAAAGCTTTTTTGCCGAGGGAGCGAGCTGAAACAATATGAGAAAACGGGTCGTAAGTACACGGGGTCAGTGAACACATTTCAGACCCGGCACGTGCTGACACGAAACTCCCAAGAGCTCGTGTGCTCGTATAGCGAAAGATACGAATGCGAACGATCGTATTAATTACACTAACGAACCGCGGATCCGCTTAAAATTAGCGTATCTGCCGTGTTTAATGCCACTGTGCATGCACCCTTTAATTCATGGAATTAGAAACGGCATACCTCTCATTTTTCAACATTTCGATTTTCTTATCTTTACGTTACTTTTACGTTTAATTACGCCCTGCAATTATACTTGTCAACAATTATCATATTAATCGCTACTTACAAAAGCACCGTAACATTTGCACATAAAATACTCGTCAAGCTTTATGAATAAAAAAAAATAAAAAATCTTACAAATAATTCCGTAACATTCTCAAAGTTGTTTATTTAAAATCATACAACCAACTGGTCAAAATATTGACTAATTAAACAATAATTATACTATCTACATTAAAAAGTTACATATAAGCAACAAAATGCCACGGATCAATAGACCGGTCACTCGAAACAGTAGCTACAGGTTCAATTTTCCGTGGCCATCAAAACATCGTTCTCAGGGTAAGCGCAACATTTGGCGCGAACAGACGATTGTACAGGCGTAAAGATCGGAATCGAAAACAGGAGGCGAGTCGTAACGTTTCATCGTGACCTGAACTCTGCTGCACTGGTCCCGACCTCGCCTAACTAGAGGTCAGTGACGTAACCAGGAGCGGTGGGGATGGCAGGGAAGCGTCCGCAGATTGCGGGATCCTAGATGCAGGTATACGGTGGTGACAGTGCAGCGGAGTGCAACTCCGATGCTTTTCTTGCGTTACAACTTTTCCGTTTACAGCTGACCCTTCCGTAACCTGTACACCGACGGACACTGTTGCCTTCGCTAAATGGCAAAAATGGCGGAGTCTGGAGACTTTTTGGAGGACTAGGAATTTTTTATGATATTGTATAATGTATATTACTGTATATATGTATGTTAATGTATATTACTGTACGTATGTATATTAATGTATATTACTGTACGTATGTATATTAATGTATATTACTGTACGTATGTATATTAATGTATGTTACTGCATGTATGTATGTTAATGTATATTACTGTACGTATGTATATTAATATATGTTACCGTAAGTATGTATATTAATGTATATTAATGTATGTTACTGTACGTATGTATATTAATGTATATTACTATACATATGTATGTTACTGTACGTATGTATATTAATGTATGTTACTATACATATGTATGTTACTGTACATATGTATATTAATGTATATTACTGTATATATCTATATAAATGTATGTACGTGATAAGTCATGACGATCATGTACATCGAATCGTCCGCAAAAGGTTAAGGTGTTAGTGCGTTTTGCGGATTGGAGCAGTAGTTCGTAAAACGATACCCAAGGATCGAGTACACGCATTTGCGCGATATCGTAACGCCACCGCACCAGCGAGGGAAACCGTACAATCTGATATTATTTAATCGATGATTTAAGACGCGACACGGTCTCCTGATTATGATTCATCGAGATACACGAGAAACACACGAGAAATTAAAAGATTTTATGTCGGTTCGGCGAAGACGCGCAACGTGTCTCCGTGATATTTATATTTTATCGATTACACGGACACGTTATCGCGTACAATAGCACGTGCGTCATGCAGCGACCAGATATATTCGACTCAAATACATCAACCACAAAATATCAGACGACGTTGTTTATCGCTTACGGCGTATCAACGAACGCGTTAATTATGTCGGACATTGCAGGAAAGATGCAAACGTATTCTTTACAAATTAAGCCTGTTAACGTTTTAACATGTCTACTGACGTGGATCGTACATCGAAGAATAACGAACATGTGCAAAAAAACTGGGAGGTCTGAAAATTATACCTGAACTCTGAATAAAAATCTAACCGGTGGCTCTTTCACCCAGATCTACAAATCGGTCAATAACAGGGACACACGAAAAAAGAAAATATCAAACGGGTCTCACGAGTTTAGAAACCGGTTAGAAATCCCACGGGGGGAGAAAACGACGCACGAAAAATTGCAACGTATATCAAATTGGAAAGCGAATCTTCGTTTGCATCATCCTGCGACACATTTTTTTTCTAACCTGCATTTTGTTCCGTTCGAATCACTTCCAGCGTGTCTGTCTCTGTCTTTTTCCTATAGAATCACTCGATGTTTACCATCGCGAACGCCAACCGCAGCGACGTTTCGTTGAAACCGACCTCGAAAGGAAACTTCGAGCAACAGTTACGATTCCTAACCGACAAGAACGCTTTTACCGCCGAAGACGTATACATATATATAGATGTTCTTCTTCGGTATTGCCTTCTTAAGTGACACCTTAGGTCACAGGCTTAACATTTGGAGAGGGAGTTTATTTCAAGATCTGACGCAAAACGTCGATATTCCTTGCAGACGGTTAGGGTTCGAAACTTTGTACCATTTACATGTTAATATTAATTAACATTAGTAGTACACTGCATTAATATAAGAAAATTTGTAACAAAACCCGGAGCGCACCCTATTGGGATTTGAACCCTAATCTCTTCTGAGTGGCAGTCAGCTGCTCCGCTCGCTACGCCAAAGTATATGTTAATATCCCCTCGCTTCTAGAATTCCTTTTATCGGCTTTGACGATCCTAATATTAATGTGCTACAGGGGTAGTCATTTGCTTTCAATTTTGGTGTAACGTTCTTCTGTTCGAAAGAGTAAAGACGATCGAGAACGATGGTCTTTCCTTTACACTTTCTCTTAATCGATAAAAGCAGAGTCCACGACCGGTGATTCCCGGCTGCCCATCTTTGCCGCATCGAATGCGAGGTGGGTAGCAAGAGTTTCTTAACGCACAGAAACGGAATATATGACGTGGAACGGTGAACGAATACGTGTCTGAAGGTTTGGTAAGGTAAGGGTAAGGGTAAGGCTCGGTCAACCGGGGGCGATACGCCGTGAGTATCGACCGCGTCGCCGGCCGGCAGAGACGCTTTTGCACGTTAAGCACGATTGCAGGGCGAAAGAGACGAAAGGGGTCGAAAAGCGAACGAACGAGAGAGGAAGACTCGCCGCGAATTTCTCGTACCGTGAACGAGATTCGAAAAGGGGGCTCCGGATAAACCCGATAGAAATATTCCTGTGCATTGTTGTTGTCTTATAGTAAGCGAAAGTACGAACGCGGTTGGTAATTAAAGAAGAAAGAAGGAAAAATGTTACCTTCCATTCAGAGCCGGACTCTGTTCGTTAGCGAAACCGAACAGTTTCGACCCTTGAAACCGACCGGGGAAAACTTTTGCGCGTTCAGCGAAGAAAAAAACGGCGGATAAAACAGAAGGAAAGAAGGAACAAAAAGCCATAGAAATGCGCCGTGATCGTCTCGCGGTTCATTAGACCAGGAGGATGATGTCTTTCTATCCCTTCGAATCGGCCAACAGCAGAAGCACTCTGGAACGTTGGCCGCGGGAACGA